AAAGTCGTCAAAAAAGGTTGGTTTATTAAGCCTGTGCTTTGAACATTGTGCTCCTTGTTTTTCTCAACAGGCGTTGGACCTGAATCTTTCAAGTCGCAATGACATTGCTTTTACAAGACGCATTAATTGATTTTAGTTAACTAACCTTTTTCCGATGATGTAAGTATGTAGCTTATGTATCGCTTTCGTCTTATTTGTGCCATAACGCACCCGGACCCAACGGTTCTATGGGGATAACTTTAAGAAATTGGCCGTGCGTTGCACGGCCCGCCCAACCCAAGGACATTACTGCGATACAACATAATACCATCTCCACCACAACGTTGGATATTCACAATCTAAATAAGCGGAAAGTTTTTCAGCATGCCAAAGACTAATTATTCAGGTTCAGGATATCGAAATAAGGTAGTATTGTACATGAGGTAGTGTTGTACAAAGAGCACGCGGCGAAGCTTTGTAGTTATATCCTAGCCTACACTTTGCACTTTGATTTAGGCCTATACTTAAGTAGCGTGTCCTCCTGCAGGCCTTGCTGCTTTACTACTTCTTTTGTTGCCCGCGCCAGCTCTTCTGCGTCAAACCGGCCCTGCACCTGGCCCTTAACCGTCATTCGGTGTCGTGTCTTGCAGAACACATGTTCAAAGAGCGGAAGCATGCGGTGATGCAGTCGCTCGCGCTCATCTTCAGCCGGCCCAGCATAACAGCGATTAGGCTAAAGTTCAATCGTCAGCACTCTTCCTATATCCTGATAACCTAGTGGCTATTAACCCGCCTGTGCTCGTCCCGCCAATCATATCAAAGTAGTCGCACGGCTTTGAAGGCACGTTGGAGTCTACAGCCTCCATCAGCTGCTCGAGGATCATTAGGACGGATAAGCCGCGCACGCTGCCGAGTATGGTGTATGCGCGTCAAGTGGCAGAAGGTAGACGAGAGACGGGGGAATACTGAGATGGAGGAGTAGGACAGGACATGATGTCTATTCTACATGTTGGCGGTCGCCTCGAGTGGGCATTGCGGCGCAGTGTTTCTGCCCCCCAGCGTATGCGGCTAAGGCGTGCATCTCCGCTGCCAGCATGCACGATTGATAGAGGAGCGTAGACAAGGCGAAACGGCAGGTGGACGCCGGGTTTGATGGCTGCATGTCGCTTCTCTCTTTACCCCTGGCCATATTTATATACGGCCTCGCGAGCGTTGTTTACCTGCGTCATGCTGGCCTGCCTGCAGATGCATCTTAGAAAGGATAGACGTAGATCGAGATGCCACGCGCCAGATTCACCTACAAATGTCCGATATTACAGAATCTGATGGATATGACCGCAGTGCTATATATATACTATACGTAATATCAATGCTCATATGCTGAAGTTTCGATGTTCTTCCGTTCGTACGGCGCAAGACGTAATACTCTTTGCCGCTTCTGTGTGCGTCCTCGCCATGGCACCTAGACTTGCAGCATCGTAGCACGATATGATCAGAGACATGATCTCTAGTCAGTCCCTTAAAGCGATAGGTATGGCGGCTGTAGCTGGTTGCAGCGACCGCACAACCGTAACGAGAGCTGGGGCGATTAAGGAAAGGCCAATACTAAGCGAGACAAGAGTGAGGGTGA